TGGTGACAGAGCCTTTAAAATGATACTGCATCTGGTTAGATAGATGTGGGATGGGACTATTTGACTATGGCAGCCCAGAAAAAAAGGGGAAACCCTGAGGTACATGACGAGACAGATTGAAATAGCTGTTTTGTTGACTTTTTTAAAACAGATTCTTCTCTTCTCTGTACTCTGACAATTAGTAGACCAATATCCCTGCCGTGGCTAGAGCAGAACCACACAAATTGCTTCTCTGGCTGTACATGGAAGTATTAACTATGTTAAATCCGCTGGTGTTTTCAGTATCTTGCATGTAACCAGAAAATAACTTTTCTTTATATTGTAACAGGCTACATGGTATGATCTCTTGCAAGCTATTAGTGATGTCTTGTTTTTCAAATACTCTAAGGAATTGCAAAAAAAAGATTGACGCAACTTCAGTGCAAAGTTGCTACATGAATAAAAGTAATAAGAGATCTGCTGACTTATATTTGTTGGCCGCCAAGTCTACACAGTGTACCCAAGGTTACTAATCTGACAGGTTAGAACTCTGTTCAAGTGTGTTTTTAATGTTTCACTACGGCATTTGTAATTGACAAGATTCTTCAACTTGATTTACCATTGGACTTACTATTTCGGTAAAAGAGGAGACTGCATGTATTATTTGGCAATCGTAGTGCTTTATGAATTTTAATTAAAGCTCAATACCACTGCTGCTGGAATGAGGAGAGCATGAAATTTTGAATTTAATGATGGCCTACGGGCCAGGGTGCAAGCATGGAATCCATACGGACCCTGCTCCGTATCGTCACTTGGCTTGTCTTAAAAATTCCAGAGCATTGAAATACTTCCTTGTTCCAGCCTCCGTAGATGAGGAATTTCAGACTTGCACTTCTGTTCTTAAAATGAACATGCATGTGTTTACCTGGCACCATATCTATAAATACCTTACAAGACTGAAATCTTACTGTTTGGCTTACTACTGTTCTGAATTATACTGCATGCATAAAACTGAATACCTGTTACTCTAAATGAGAATGCTCCTGCTGCCTGCAACTGCGGTGCTCTGTTTCGAGGGAATGGTACTGCAGACGCTTCCTCTCCTCACTTAAACCACTTAGATATGGCTTTCCAGGTACGCCGTGTCTTCTTCTACCTTCTGCAGAAAGGACACCCGGTATGACACCTAGACACTTGGGAAGGGCTGCTGTTTCTCATAGGCTTCTGCGTAGTGGAAAAATACAAATCATAAGCTGCTTACAATGTGCTAATTTTAGTGGTTAGCTGCATCCCTACTGTGAATTTCCAAGTATGTAGATCCCGAGATGTCTTTGATTTCAGTGAAACAGCAGCAAAAACATTGTGTTGCAATCTTAATTCTAGTTTAAATAAATCTTCATCAGACCTTAGTGTTTTGAAGTTGCTAATGCACTGGAGAAGTGGTTTTATTATTACTTCTCTGTGCCTCTACCTCAGCAAACACAGCAATATAAATACTTATTACAAATGTCACTGGGCAGATGAGTTAAATGCTCACAAGGGGCTAGGAAGAAGCATACCATTTGCTCTCCACTTAGGAACTAATCAATATGGCTAGCAATGTATTAAATTTGCCAAAGCTTTCAGTGTGTCAGAGGTGACCGTGATACTTTGAGATCATAGTATTAAAAGGGACAGTTACAATTGGTTTTCTGGTCAGAGTGTACTTTATTACAAACACCTCCAAGAAAAATCTTAATAGGTAACTGAAGAACTGCTAGTGAGAACCAGGACACTTCTGATCAAAAGTAACAACTTGGTCTTACTCAGAGTCATCTTGTGCTTCTGGGTTCAAATAGATTGGTTTATTTAGCTAAAAACAGAGGTGTTGCTCTGGGCTAGAGCCCAAAATGTGCTTCCAAGGTTTTGGCGGAAGAAGACGCAGCAAGAACACACTCATCTTGAAGAGAATGGACTAGCTACTTCATCAGCAGAAAGTTAGTGCTATTTAAGCTGCTTGAAGCGCTGAAACGATTTGAACAGATGTAATATTGAAAGTATTTTCACTTCTTTGTCAGAATGTTGCTGGTATTTTGGGTTTTTAACATAAAACAGGACTATAGCCAATGGTGTTTGTTGACGTCTAACTGCTTAAAATACTGCTTAGCTAAGACCAGAATCAATGCACTGTTTAGTCAGAGAAACCCTTTTTCTGACTGCATTACAGTTTAAGTCATGCCCCTGTATTGCTACCAATGTAAAACCAGGATGAACAGGTACACGTATTTACGTATACGTGTGTGACCCAGTGGCATTCCTTCTAGGCCACTAGCTACTTCAAGGTTCTGGCGTGCTGCTCAGTCACTATTACTGACGTTAACTGAAGCATTTTCGTGCAGTTGCTTAAGACTGAGCCAATCCTCTGTGCCTCTCAGACAGCAGCATGGTAAAATAACCACACTTGTATCTTTTCTTACGTAGAACAAGCAGTCGCCTATACAGCAAAAGTCTTTTATTAAAAATCACATCACACAGATCCTTTGGCCAATAAAGGCATACGTGAAAGGACATAAATACATACACAATACGCTTACGCAATTACCAAGAGTTTTCATCATCACAGATAGCTTCAGGTTTCTAGCAGTTTATTTCCTATATAAATGCTGAGCAAATGAACTGTGTGCCACACCCCACCCCCAAATGGTAAAGTTATGCGGCTGCAAAAAAATGTGCAATTTCATTCAATGGTTTAAAAGATACTCAGCACAGTACCCCACGCTAATTCTTCTTCATAAAGGCACGCTTATTATGTAGTATCCTTCAGCTTCAGACAGGCTATAAGTAACAGACTGATCCGTTTCCAAGTTTTACTAGATGTTACCTAAATAGTCTGTATTAGAAAGTAATAACTGGCATATTATGTTGGCATAAAGTAGTTCCAGTTCCAAGGTAAAAGTATATCTTACACAGGTACATGTAGCAACAGATTTGAGTCTTGCAGGGAGTGTGTTCTGAATAAAATTTATAGTAGTGCAGGTGTTGACAGCTTGTCAAGCATACAGCAATACCAAAAACATATTGCAACTCTGATGCTGGAGCTGAACAGAAACTAATAGAAGTGCAACTCTTAATCACCTTCCCGTGCTGCTGGGCTTTTAATCAAATCTGCAAAGCTAACACCTTGGCCCCCAAAACATTAGCGTTAACAGATACGAAATACAAATTTAAATGCTCAAAAAAAAAGGCATTTCAAGTACAGAAAATGTAACATTTATCAAAAGTATGACACATAGAAGCTGTATTTGAGCAAACTTCACACGAACAAGGCTAGACATTCAGAAAAGAAAGTATTCAGCTACAGGAATAGTAATTTCTAAGTTGGGTTGTTTTTTTTAAAAATCTTGAACTGACTATAGGAATTCTTGGAAGCCTGAGGGTTCTTTAAGTGGAACTGTTAGTTTATTTAGTATGGAAATTAATGTTTTAGCTACTTATTTTTACACACTAAAGTAATTAAGTCATGTTGCACATAACTTAAAAAAATTCACTGGAAGATAAAATCAACTTTCTAGTTAAGTTTATGCCATTGTCAGCTTTAAATATTTCAGTATCAAGTCTTAGATATGATCACAGATAGGACACGTCATGAACAATTAATTTCTCTACTGTATCTAGTAGCTCTGGTAGAATGCTAAATGCCCGATTTAAAAAAAAATAATAAAAAAAAATCTGTAAATAATAACAAAAAGCTCAATAGTGTTACAGACCAACTCAATGGTAGTCCTGAATGGATACTAACATAAGCTTACAGACTTGACATAGTTGCCTAACTTACAGTGCGTAACACACTGATATCTAGAAAAGCTGAGGTGATAATTTTTCCCCATGCTAACAATAATATTAAAAATGCACAGTATTTATGAAGAGAAAACCTGGAAACCAGCAGAAACACTATTTGAAAAAATAAAAAGCCCAACAAATCACTAACCTATCGCCACTAAGAATGGCTACAAAAAAAGAAGATAAATCTGTTCCTGGATAACTTTGCTTTCACTAAGGCCCACAACAAAACTTTCCAGTCTAATATAGCTGCTATAAAGACCAAAAACCGCTTATTTCTCAGCAGCACTTAAACATCCTCCCAAATGCTGGACCCACTGAAGTCAGACTCCTCCCCCTGACTTTCAAGAGAGACAAAGATTACATCATGGTTTTCAAGTACAGAAACATCATATACTAGACTTCTGAGATCATGTCAGGAAATATGGAACCCGATCCTGAGAAGGTATGAAAGATAGCCTTTAATTACTTCTTTTAAAATATTCAATTCGTATGTTGTTCAAAATGTGCTTTATATTTTGCTTTAGAAAAAAATGGGCTCAAAAATGAATTTTGGATTGAAACTTTAAAACTTTCGTGACTCACTCATGCAATACTCGGATGTTTCTTGATTATTCATAATAACATCAATAGGTCTTTCACTTTCAAATTCTTTCTAGTAAAATATAAAAAAAAAATCCTGTGCTAGTTAATGTTTTTCTGGGTTTTTCCACACAACATGTGGGATATCTGCTCTCTCCCAAATGATTCAATTTGCTTTTAAAATACCAAAAAAGTTTAAACACTTCATCTTTTACTTTAGTGGAATTTCCCAGTTAACTGGGATTGAAATCTAATCGCTATATTTGCAGTAAGGGGGCATCTACTAAGAAAACTAAAACCATTTACTAAAGGACAAGAATCTGTCAAGCCTTCCATGTTAATTTGTTTTGCAACTAGAGCGAAACATGGGTAACCTTGAACAGCTTGATTATTCAGAATAACATCAATAGGTCTTTCACTTTCAAATTCTTTCTAGTAAAATATAAAAAAAAAATCCTGTGCTAGTTAATGTTTTTCTGGGTTTTTCCACACAACATGTGGGATATCTGCTCTCTCCCAAATGATGCAATTTGCTTTTAAAATACCAAAAAAGTTTAAACACTTCATCTTTTACTTTAGTGGAATTTCCCAGTTAACTGGGATTGAAATCTAATCGCTGTATTTGCAGTAAGGGGGCATCTACTAAGAAAACTAAAACCATTTACTAAAGGACAAGAATCTGTCAAGCCTTCCATGTTAATTTGTTTTGCAACTAGAGCGAAACATGGGTAACCTTGAACAGAAAAGGGTATAACGAGGCTGTGTCAGACCGAGATGCGGATACCAAGAACGCAAGAGTGGTCACCATCGTTTCTGGGCTCCATCTTGCAAGGGTGCGGGCAGCGCACCTAGGCAGGCAACGGGCTGTGCTGCTGCCAAGAGAGCTGCTACGCTGGGTGCCTCAGGGTGCACGCTGTATTCCTGACACTTGTGCAAGAAACTCTTCAAGAGAATTTCTTAACTATTAAGTATTTGTATGCACAATGTCTTCCGTGGGGTCAAATATCAGATGGAGATCCAGCATTTCTCTGCCATTAATTTTGCCAGCAATGAAAAACACTTTTTTTTTGGGGGGTGGGGATGGGCGTTGTGGGCAGGGAGAGTCAAAGTCAACAACGTAAACAACTTCCATGAACACGGTTATTGGTAGGAATGGATAAACGGTACATTCTTACTAGCTTAAGAGACATGCAGCAGACTTTTGAACCGCAGTTCAGATCCTGGTACTTTAAATAATGGCTTGTACACCAATAAATTCAAGCACTGCTTGATATGTAATTCTCATGGACGTTACAGTACCTCCTTAAACAAATTTAAAATGACATTTAATATCTTATTTCCTATACATAACACATCTTCAATAATTATAAATAAATACTCACATTAGAAGCATTTAATCACATATATACACACAATACTAGTGAACCCCAAATGGCAAACAGATGTTTCTTAAAATGCTAAAACCAATTCAAATTTTCTGAAATCTTGTTAAATTCTTTTTTTGGAATAGTATACCTTGCTGAAAAGCACATCTGCCTATCTGTCAATACATAAGCATGCATTAGAATGGACACATGCTAAAATAACTTATTTTTGTCAGTATCTTAATTTAACTTTGTTTTAGAAGGAAGTCAAAGATCTGTTCAGATTTTAGAAATAGAGAATTATGAGCCTCTGCAGAAGACTTCTCTTAATCCTCAATAATTTAATCAAAACAAGAGAAGAATAACAAAACACCCATACTTGATTCCTTTGGTATGAATTGCTAACTTGATAATTTAAGAAGCAAAAATAGAGAGATACTGGCACCCCTTTTCTTCTTTGCAATTTGTCTCTTCCTGCAGGTGGGAACAGACACTGACAAGAGGAGGAAATGAAATTGTATGAAAGTGCAGTGTGCAACAAACAGTAAAACTGATAATTAAGAATGCCCTTCAGGCATAAAAGTAAAAACTCTGCTTATACTGAAAGATCTGTAGCTGACAAAGGTTACTGGAAGTCAGTAGCTCTGTATTAGTACTGGAAAAAAAAGTATTTCTGTGTATTAGAGCACCCGCCATTCAAAAATGTTTGAATTACAGGCTTACCTAAAGGTTTGCAGATAAGTAATATGGCGAAATTGTGTAAGTGATCTGTTCTACAGCCAAGAATGTCCTGTCTGCTTTCAATACCGCATCTGATGCCGACAAGCTCTGTCAGTACTAGAATTATTTGTAGCGTAGACAGGACTAAGGGACATAATCCCATTTACTGACATATCACTTGAGCAATTAACTTAGACCTCCTGTAAGATTATTTTTAGTTCCACTATAAGGTGCTATCGGGGAGAAGCGGAGAATCCACACAGTCTAGCTTCGGGCATCTAAATGTGACCGTTGGGGGATTAGTCTCCTTAGATTGCAGCGTAGCTCCTGAAAAGAGAGACAAGGTTCTCCTCAAACAGGAATTTGGGGGGTGGGGGAACCTATTTCTCTTGACTACATACAGAGTTTACTTCTTAGCTGAGGTACCCACGTTAGGGCAACGTTGTTTGAACTCCGAATAGCTTCCACTGATCTAATCCTGCTAATTTACATTTTACAGAAGTAACCCGGAACAATATAAATCTGAAGCCTACAACGTCTGACCTTGTAGTAGTCAGTGAGATTACTTACTGTTGGGAGACGAAACGTTTCTTCATACACAGTTGGTTTGGAGGATAAGCCAAGAACAACACCTATGCCTAACAACTGAAGGCTAGCTTTGTAGCATAACTATTTGATCCCAAAATAATGTATTCCCTATCTGCCAAATACCATAACTCATCCACCTTTCTAAATATAGACTTACTCTTTAAAACAACAAAAAGCTTAGAGACAAGTTACACAGAAGGTCTAATAATTCCATTCTTGTAAATCAGAGCACTCGCCAAAGAACAGACTCTCTCTCCCTCCCCTAATGCGAATATCCTACGTGAAATTGTTCCCTTTACTTGACTGCTTGTGTCAATAACCAGTCACCTGTTCCCACTGGCAATAGCAACTGATTTGCGGGCCCATTAGAATCTTCAAACCTTGCCAAACTGACACTTGTTCCTTGCCAAGAAATAAACAGCAGACGCTAGTTTCACAATCTTATAGATAGCATAAAGGCCTGCCATGATCTTTAGCAAATAAATCTTAGGTTCTGCTAAAAATCTTCCAGCAACTTTTCATCCAAGTTATCTCCCCCAAATTTTCTGTACTATCCATATTTTGCAACCAATTATTTGCCTTCAATCCTGTCATATGAGCCTTTCCATGCTTTTTGTCTTTTTTTTTTTAAGCATCTCTACATCATGCCACATCAGTAGCTCTTAGGAGTTTCAGGGTTTCATTGATTGTGACATAATGAATCGTGCAAAATCTTTTGAGTAATTTTTAAGCCCTAGTTACTGGGATTCTCCCCAAGTAACCGTAACCACGCTCCGACAGTCCATCAACATTCTGCCTTTTCCTTCCTCAGGCTTTCACGGGATGCCATCCTTCCTTTGGCAACACTGTGAAGGAGGCACTCCCCAATCATACATGTAGGAAAGCCTGAGCTTAACCTCCTCCTTACAGAGCTTTCCTTCTTTAGCCAGGGTCTGGTGCTTTTCCAGCATGTCCTCGATGCTTTGCTTATGAGTTACTATGTACTTATTGTTGCAACCTCGTGACTTATACTCAGTGTCAAAACGAGGGTCGTGCACTCTCTTCACATCGATGGGAGCCAGCCACACCCCCAGGGAAACATCTTCACTCTGCCACATGTTCAGGTAGTCCCTGCTAAGACGCAAATAGTGCACCAGATCTGCAGAAATCACATAACCACCACCCAGAGCATATGGTAGATAGTAGTCACAGAGCACCCAGGCGCTCTCTTTCCATTTGCCACCAGATTTGACTCGACCGCGGCCAGAAAAGAAGCCCCAATAGAGGCGACGCGGCTCCTTAGCTCTCAGCTCTTCCACGAGCACATCCAAGCGTACGAAGGTATCGTCGTCGGCCTTCAGGGCAAACTGGAAGTCCAGGTGCAGATCCAGCCAGACGTACGTGGCCAGGACTTTAGCAGTCAGGTTCTCGTAGGAATCCCGCAGCTCTGGCAGAAGGAGGAGGTCTCTGTGCCGGCTCTGCTCTAGCTCCAGGCTACGAAGCTCCTCTGCCCCGAGCCCACCTGTGCCGATCACAAAGCGGCTCCAGATGTCATCGTGAGGGGGGCGCCCGGCGGCCGAGAGCCACGTGCTGCGGATGATGCTGCGACGCTCGCTGTACTTGGGGCCACTCGTGATGAGCACGGCCAGGAAGGCGGTCTCCTCAGGGGAGGGCGGCGGGGCTGCCGGGGGATGCGGCCCCCTGGCACCCCGCGGCGGCAGGGCGGCAGGCGGGGTTT